AAGGGGTGTAGAGCAGAAATGAACATGATCACAATACCAAGCTTACCAAAAAAGGACAAACAACCATGGGTGAGAACAACATAAAAAGAAAGATGTAGGAGATAAGAGAAAGAATAGATTGTCTTCCACAAAAAAAGTGAGTGCCTGGTTGTACAGGCCCGATGCTCGCCGCTCAATCTGCAAGAGCAGAGGGCTAGCAACATCGGAGAATATATTGTCACATCACTACAAACTAAAAGAGCACAGAACTGCCCGGTAAAACCGTAGGCAGAGAGAGAGAAGACGACAACAAACGAGGGGCTGTGACAAACTGTTTCGTCGGAGTTTCACCGACTCATCAGGAGGCTGAATATATATATATATATATTTTTCCTGGAAAGATCACAACCTAATCTACAGGATATCAAAATTTCAGATTTTTTCATCAATTGTTCTGAGCGCGAAAAAACGCCAAACTTGGCGCTTGAAAAACCTTGGACCGGATCTGCCTGCGCCTGCCGGTTGCCGGCCCCCCGAAATACCCGGTCCATAAGGCCAGGAAAGTCGAATTTAGGCCGGCAGGGTTAATGATGGTTTTAAGACGACAGCACAAACCTCCCCGGACAGTAAAGAAAGGAAAGCTAGAAGAGCGTCCAGATTGCACCCAACTCAGCCCCTGCCTAAGTCGGGCGCAAGTTGGGTGTAAGGAACACTGGACCCAGTTTCCAGCATTGTGAATAAAATTTTGTTTAAAAAAAAAAAGAAGGATTGCACCCAACTCACTCTCCTGTTCCATGGCAGATAAAGGTAGGACAAGAGTTGGGTGTAAGGGACGCTGGATCCAGTTTCAAGCATTGTGAATAAATTTTTGTTAAAAAAAAAAATTGATTGCACCCAGGCTACCAGACGGGCCTCCCGGGCCACCTAGTTTGCCCGGGCGGCCCACACCGTGCAAGGACCAAAGAAGGTCCCAGAAAAAAAGAAAAAAAAAACCTGAAAAAAAACTTTAAAAAAGTTTAAAAACTATTGCAATAAGCCATGCAGTATGCCCCGTGGAATTGCCAGGCCACACCCAGACCCAGGCCAAAAAGGAGAAAAAGACCCCAGCCAAAGATTCAGGGCCTGAGCGAGCTACAGTTGACCAAAGTCAACTGTCTGACGCCCAACAGTCAAACACACTTGTTTATATGCAGGCACCCAGACAGCGACAGGACCAAAGGGAAGTCTGCAACTGTATACAACCAAGGCCCTCGGCTGTGAGTCAAACTGTACGACTGTGGGTGGGAGACCTGAGGCCAGACAGCCTCGTCAAATACTACATAATGCTTGGTCTCCAGGTGGTCAACATTCAGTCTTGCTATGCTGCCTCGACACTGGGTTGACTATAGCGGGACACTGGCTTGACGCTGGCTGTGCGCTGGTACTGTGGACAACGACGTGGGACTGTGGCAGCATGCTGGCGCCTTCGCTGCTGAGCACCAGCCTCTGCTGATGTGGCGCGTGCCACCTATCTTCATTGCTGATGTGGCATTTGCCACCTGTCTACATTGCTGAGGTGGCGCAGGCCATTTGTCTTCATTGCTGATGTGGCGCATGCCACCTGTCTAGAGTGCTGATGTGGTGCAGGTCACCTGTCTACATTGCTGATGTGGCGCAGGCCACCTGTCTTCATTGTTGATGTGATGCATGCCACCTGTCTCTATTGCTGACATGGCATTGGCCACGATGTCTACATGAGGTGATTGGTTGCGATGAGGAGGGAGATCGGGATCTGTGGATGATTGGGATTTGGTACTCACCTGAGGTTGATGTCGATACCATGGACTGCTGTTGTCTTCATTGTCTCCATGAGTTGATAGTGCCATGTGGCATCAGGACTTATCAGACTTGTTACTGTATATTGTTTGATGGCATGGAGGCGAGGGGAAGCCCGGAGAAGAAGTGGGAAATGATTGGGCTACTTTTGTGTGGTCACTAATTATCTCTTCCACCCTCTCCTCTGTCCATTCCCCCTCCACGCTCTTCGACGTCTGATGAGTATCTTCCAGTCTGGGTTCACTGCACCATGTTATGCAGAAAAATAAACTGAAGAACTTTAGCCTCCGGGTCACATCGAAACTCTTTACCATACTTGTGGCCCATGCCGTGCGCGGCGTCGCGGCACGTGCGGCGCAGAGCGCAGCCGGCGCGTGCACGGCACGCGGCGCATCGGCCAAAACAGGGGTCGTGGAAAAAAAAAAAAAAAGTTCGGGGGGGAGGCCCGGAGAGGTACCGGCAGAAATTGCCTCTGTGGGCGCGAAAAAAAAAATTCGGCCCGCGCCGAGGCCCGGTAAAAATTTTGGGGGGAGATCTGAGTAGTTCGTTTTCGAAATACTCAGGCCTCCCTCATGCCGCCGTTGGGCACCCCGGCACTTCACCGACCCGTCAGTTGTGCCTTGTCTCCTTGGTGGCCGTTGTGTGGTCCGTTTTCGTCGTCGTTCGTCATTGGTTGTGCCCGCCCGTCACCAGCAGCACCAGCCCGAGCAAAAAACAGGAGGCAGCAGAAGGCAGCAGCACACAGCAGGAGGCAGCTGGAGCAGGCAGTGGGAGCGAGGAGTAATCACCGAGCCACTTGAGGTGGGTTGCCACCGGCTCTCTCTCTCTCTCTCTCTCTCTCTCTCTCTCTCTCTCTCTCTCTCTTCGCTCTTCCCTTCTCCTGTCTCTGTCCTTCGAACACTTCACCATCCAATCACCCTTTTTTTTTCTTTTTTCTTTTTTTGCCCTTGTTATGTTAGCGACACGGCCTTTCACTCCGCACGGCACCTCCACCCCTCCCATCCTCCACGCGTCCTCCTCCTTCCTCCCTCCTCTCTCTCTCTCTCTCTCTCTCTCTCTCTCTCTCTCTCTCTCTCTCTCTCTCTCTCTCTTCGCTCTTCCCTTCTCCTCCTGTATCTGTCCTTCGAACACTTCACCATCCAATCACCCTTTTTTTCTTTTTTTTTGCCCTTGTTCTGTTAGCGACACGGCCTTTCACTCCGCACGGCACCTCCACCCCTCCCATCCTCCACATGTCGACTGACTCGACTCGCTGCCCCCTCTTTCCTTCTTCCTTTCTCCCTCCTCCTTCCTCCCTTTCTCCCTCCTCCTCTCTCCCTTCTTCCTCGTCCATCTCTCCCTCCTCCTCCCTCCCTCCTCTCCCCTCTTTCGTCGTCTATTTGTACCTCTCCTTCCTCACTTTCTCCCTCCTCCATGCAGCACCTCATTTCTCCCTCCTCTTTCCTCCTCCCTTTCTCCCTCCTGCTTCCTCTCTTCTTCGTCCTCCATCTCCTCCATTTCTCCCTCCTCCTTTCTCCCTTCTTCATCCATCTGCCCCTCCTCCTTCCTCCCTCTCTCTCCATCCATCTGTCCTTCGAACACTTCACCATCCAATCACCTTTTTTTTTTTTTTTTT